CCTTTCACCTCCATCCTCCTTCACCTCCCACGCCCACCCGCCAGAACCAAGTACCTTCCACCTCCTTCCTCCTTCATCTCCCACACTCATCCACCATAGCCAAGCACCTTCCACCTCCAACCTCCTTCATCTCCCGCACCCGTCCACCATAGTCGAGCACCTCCCACCCCCATCCTCCTTCATCTCCCACGCCCGTCCACCATAGCCAAGCACCTTCCATGTTACATGTTCGACGCCACACGGGTCCTACCGGACCCGACTTAGGGCCAGAGGGACACATTAGGGCCTAAAGGCCCGACCTTGGGGACTACAGGCCGTAAAGGCCTCATCTTGGACCAGACCCGACGGGCAGGCCCAAACGACATTACCGTTTGGGCCTGGCGACGCTCTTGAGGCTGCCGCCCGCTGGTTGGGGTTGAACCGTCCATCTGGACGGTTCAGGGCACGGCCAGGCCTCGCAGCATAGAGGCCGGCCTCTGCCCACCGGTACAAAGGTACCGGTCCGGCCTCACTCCGGCATCGAACCACCGGCAGTCTATGCGATGCGTTATGGTTAGCGCCCGAGCGCTAGCGCTATTCTTAGAGCAGGAGTGCGAGGAGCAGCAGCAGCAGCATTAGCGCAGCAGCGGCAGCGAGCGGAGCAGCAGCAGCGGGACTGAGCATATCGACGACCATAGCCGCCTGAGGTACTGGGAGCCGGGGGTTCTCTCCTCCCTCCCGTCACCAGTCCCCTCTCTCTCTCCCTCCTCCTCAACTCCCTTCTTCTTCTTCTTCTTCTTCTTCTTCTTCTTCATACCTCTTCTTCTTCTTCAGACTTTCTTCTTCTTCAGATTGGAGACTTCATACTAGTTGGACAGAGATCAGTGTTGGACTTCGATGGTATGAGACTGTGGTACTTACCGGATTCGAGACTTGGAGATTGTTGGGGTTGATACTCGGCGGCATCACAGTTCGGACACCGGTTACATTTGGAATCTGTATCTCCGACATTGGTGACTTATTGTCCTCGATATTTTGATCTTGTTCGATGACATTTTAGACTACCATATCGGTGACATTTTGGACTACCATATCGGTGACCTATCGGATTCTATCTCGGTGACCTTCGGTGCTGTCTACCTCCCCCACCTCCTTCGTCTCTCTTCTCACCTTTCATCTGTGTATGTGTGTACAGGGTCTGAGCAATCTTCCATGTATGGCTCAGACCCCACCATCTCATGATTGTATGTGTGTGGAGTAATATCTATGTGAGTCAATCCGTTATCAGACTTCCGCTGCATACATGCTCATCCTATATTGGTTGATCTTTGGTTCCCTATACTCGTTGATCTTTGCACGAGTATGTAACAGTTTTGGTATCGGAGCAGACCATATTACGGATCTGCTCACCAAGTAAGTCTGATTAGGAGTTAGATTGCTTCTTCAATCCTCTAAATCAGCTACGTATTACTATCGAGTTTCAAAGTTGCAATTTTTTTTTCTTTTTTCGGTATTCTGTTTATTTCGGCATTTCCGTTTCAATTCGGTATTCGGACTCGTAATTCGCATTCCTGTTTTATTTCGATATGCTGATTACTGGGTTCTGAGAAATTGATATTAATCCGGCATTCTAATTAATTCGGATTTCTGATTTTTAATTCGTGATTAGGGTTAAAACAGTACTCTGTTTAATTCAGCATTCTGATTTTATTTCGGTTTTCGGTTTTATAATCCAGCATTCTGATTTTAATCCTGTATTCCGTTTTATTGCAGTGTGGGAAATTATGGTTACGAAAATTTTTGGTTCTCAATCAACTTGGGAAATTCGAACGTTTTGGGACCGTAAAACCGAAAATTCCGCGGAATCGCGGAAAATTAGGGTTGGGCTTCGAAATTTTTGCGAATTTTTTTTTTTCTCTCCCTTGTTTAAGAAATTCCGAAAACGGACTTAGGCCTTTAAAAATCGGATTTTGACGGTGGAAATTCCCGAAAGTTCAAGTTTTCAAAATTTCGAGTGTTTTTCTTCTGATTTTTTTCGAATTTTTTTTTTTGGCAAACTAATCCGTAGCTGACCCTCAGAATTGCAACTTCCGGGTAGTTCACTAATGAACGGTGAACTCCCGGACTAAAGATGATCTCAATGGATACCTAATCTTGACACAATTCAAATTTGTTCATTATCATTATTGTGAATATTGTTTTAGTGATTATCATTCATTATTGCAAATCTTGTTTTATTGATTATCATTCATTATTGCAGATATTGTTGCAAATCTTGTTTTATGTGATTATCATTAAAAATTATTATTTCGTATTAATCATTAATTAAACTTTATTGATTAAATAAATCGTTATTATTTTCTTATTACGAATTTTTGAATTGTTCACGAGAAAATTATTTTTTCTGTTGATTAGGTGTCTTAAGTCCATCTGTGGGACAGGGGACTGTATGCGAATTGTTTGATTGTTCTACCCCTGTTCCCACTCTCCCTACCCTCCCCGTAATCTGTGACCACCGGGACCTCTCAAGTACCACATCAGTTCACACTGATGTCGACGGAACAGGACACCAGGGCACTGCCACGACGCAATGTCAGGCTTGCAGTTTGTGCCCGCTCTGTGGTACCTCCCCGAACCAAGGCTCAGCGACTCAGCAAGCGGAAGAATCCAGCAGCATCGAGTACAACAATGACAGCACCGGTTACCACCGGGGTTATCCCGCATGCCCGGTCCAAGGGGCCAGTGAGCCATTGACGACTTAGTTTCAGCGAGTACAGGCATTCACGGATGTCGTAGCTATCGCAAAGGCACAGGAGGCAGCAGAGGCGAAACGTCAGCGGCTGGCCAGTGAGGCGGCAGTCCAAGCTCAGCGGACTGCTGAGGCTGACGCCGTGGTGCGAGATAAGCGGAACGCCATTTGCATGGAGTCCTTGACTGTGAATGAGAGTCAGTGGACGACACTGCTCCAAGGCATGCTGTTTGTGCCTTCGGATACATAGGCGGATCCGACACCGTCGGAGGAGGAAAGGAGCAACCTGGCTAACCTGATGTTGAATATGATGCGAGCGATCATGTGGAACAATATGATGTTAATGGTGCAAATACACGAGGGCAGACAGCTGCGACAGATTCAGCAGAATGATTTTGCAGCCTTAACAACTGTTGTTCGCTCTGCCGCCACACATCAACAACAACAGCAACAGTTGTTGAGCACCACCACCGCACACGTCAATAACATCGAGGCTAAGGCCTCAGCAGCGCCAGGCTGCACGACAGACACGACGAAGAAGCTCAACGAGCACATCGATCACATCGTCACTATCATCGACAAACTTAGTGATTGGTCCGGCTACGATCAGCAGCACGGTGGCCGCCATCAAGACGGACATCACCAAGCTGCAGTCGCAACCGGCAACAGCTGCGAAGGTATACAAAATACCACGGTTCAACATCGACAAGTTTGAGGACTACAACAAGACCGACGCTTTGACATGGTGGCAAGCCTTCCTCACGGAAGCATCATGCCACAAGGTCCCAGCCGAAGACATGATGAAGACCATATACCTCCAACTCATTGGAGGGGCACAAGCATGGATGAACCACCTCGCAGTCAACAAGAAGACCACGATCGCCGAGCTACACAAACACCTCACGTGGGAGGAGTTTGAACAGTTCTGGTTCACTCGCTTCATGGTCCGCAACATAGTAAAGGTGGCAATGAACGAGGTGTACACATGCTCACAAGGAAGCATGCCAACTCGAGACTGGACAATCAAGTGGCAAAAGATAGTGACCACGCCAGGTTTCGATTTGAGCTTTCCGAATCAACTATTCGAGTTCTTATCGTGATCGTGCGCAGGACTGCGAACCGCACTCGGCAACGAGTACAATTACGCCTCATTCCAGGCTATCCTGGATCGTGCGAACTTGGTCATCCAAACGGATGACAAGGCTGCAAACGAACAGCAGTCCCAGCCGCATTATGGGGCTAAGCAGGGCTATCAACGACCGACACATAACAATGTCGCGATTTCGGAAGAAACAGTCGATCTCCACGCTGCAGCAGCATCCTTGACTGATGGAGGAATTGTAGCAGTGCTCCCCTCGAAGCGTCCCAAGAGAGTTCGGAAGAACAAGGCGACACAGGAGACGGCATTGACGGGAACAGGGCAGCAGCCATGGACGGCATACAAGATAACCAAGGAAATCTATGACCTTCGTCAACGGTACGGATATTGCCTTTGGTGCAATGGAGTCGCTCATTTGACTGCACAGTGCCCCGAAAAGGGCAAGGCACGCGTACCCCGTCCAACGAGCTCGGGAAACTGAGTTACGCAAGGAGAGGGGCGACGTCTCTCCTCACTCCGCCGGACCCGGTTGCCTTGTTAGCAATCGATGCCACTACCGGGGAGCATGCGTTAGTCGTTGATTCTCGTGCTACGTATGAGGATTATGCCGCCCAGCTCGTACCACCACTAGACCAGCCAAGCCACGTGCACTTAGATTGCGTATGCGCAGCCTGTACACCGTCGGCAAGTGATCCGGTCAATTCGCCACTGATTTTCGAGGACTCGACGGCGTGGTCAAGACTTGAGGAGCTTGACCCGCTCACGAGAGAGGACTTCGCGTGGATGCCTCTACCCTCGACCGGGACCTTACCAAGGCCGCACTGCAACGCCTTAAATGCAAATCTACGCTCCTATTTGCACACTATAGTACCAGCTCCGTTGACGGGCGACAGAGTAGCGGTTGTCGATCTCCGCTCCTATCTTGCGAAGATTGACCGCGAGCACGCCACCCAAAGGTAMGCCGAAACCGACGCTCCTTTGCTCTATATCCGCATTCAAATCGGAAAGGCAACCTGTAGTGCCTTGATTGATTGCGGAGCGTCTCGCAACTTTATGAGCCAAGCCTTTATGGCCCGCGCAGGTCTTGGCCCATGCGTTCGAAGGAAGACGCAACCCATACAAGTTACACTCGCGGACGGCCGCACGCAAAAGTCGATTGACCGATGCGTCGACGGCGTTCCGGTATACTTTGCGCCACTTGCGTGCAAGCCGGTGTCTTTTGACATCCTCGACACCAAGTTCGACATGATTCTAGGCATGTCTTGGTTGCGTAGCGCCGATCATCCGGTGAACTTCCATGACCGAACCGTTCACATCCGTGATCGGAACGGAGTGTTAATCCCATGTACGGTCGCGACCCCTCACACTTCGATTGCTTGTCACGTGGTTTCCGTTACGAGAATTCACGACGCCATAGCTTGGAATGACGTCGAGGAGATGGGCCTTGTATTTTTGCATGCTCTCCCCTCACCGGACGGACCAGCCACGTCACCGCCGGACCCACGCATCACTCACCTCTTGGACGAGTATGGAGACGTCTTCGAGGCTCCTACCGGAACGGTTCCGGATCGGCCCATACGTCACGGGATCACTCTCGAGGTTGGCGCCGTCCCTCCGCGTGGATGTATCTACCGCATGAGCGAAGAGGAACTCGAGGTGCTTCGCGCACAACTCGATGATCTTCTCAACAAGGGCTGGATTCGCCCTAGTTGCTCGCCATACGGTGCACCTGTTCTCTTCGTCCGGAAGAAGAACAAAGATCTGCGGTTATGCATCGACTATTGCAAACTTAACGCACAAACCGTAAAGAACGCCGGCCCTCTCCCTCGGATTGATGATCTCCTTGAGCGGTTAGGCGGCGCGACGTACTTCTCGAAGTTGGACTTGAAGTCGGGTTACCACCAGATTGAAATCCAACCTCAAAATCGGTACAAAACCGCGTTCAGGATGCGGTACGGGCATTTTGAGTGGGTTGTCATGCCCTTTGGGCTCACCAATGCCCCCGCAACTTTTCAAGCAGCTATGATGACTGAGTTTCTCGACGTGCTCGATCGCAGCGTCCTCATCTACCTCGATGACATCTTGGTCTATAGCACGACATTGGACGAGCACATCACACACCTTCGCGCTGTTTTGAATCGTTTGCGACTGGCCAAGTACAAAGCGAACCGCGACAAGTGCGAGTTCGCCAAGCAAGAGCTTGAGTATTTGGGCCACTATGTTACGCCGAAAGGCATTCGTCCCTTAGCGGACAAGATCCAAGCCATCGTGGATTGGCCGGAACCCCGTTGGACGACGGATATACGCTCTTTCATGGGTTTGGCTGGATATTATCAGCGATTCGTCGAGTCATACTCGAAAGTGGCCGCTCCTTTGTCGAGACTTCAGCCCCCGAAGGTGCCCTTCGAGTTCGACGACGCAGCCCGTGGCGCGTTCACTACGTTGAAGGCAGCAATGCAAGCCGCACCTGCCCTCCGTATATACGACCCCACCCTACCCACCCAAGTGACTACGGACGCTTCAGAATACGATATTGGTGCAGTGTTGGAACAGTGTCACAAGGACGGTTGGCATCCGGTTGAGTATTTCTCCCAAAAGGTGCCTCTCGTCAACACTCTCGACGACGCTAGGAAGAAAGAGCTACTCGCGTTCGTCAYCGTTCTCAAACGGYGGCGCCACTTTCTTCTCGRCYGKCGGCGTTTYAAATGGAATRCGGACAACAATCCGTTGACCTTTTATAAAACGCAAGACACGGTTACTAGCACGATCGGTCGATGGATGTATTACATCGACCAGTTCGATTTTGACCCGTGCCACATTCCCGGTCCCGCCAATCGAGCTGCGGACGCCCTCTCACGACGGTCCGACTTTTGTGCCATTGTGACCACGGTCCACGACATTCGACCTCGATGACGATCTGCAGCCGCATTTCGTCAAAGGCTACAAGTCCGATCCAGCTTACTCTACGCTTTATGCAGAGCTTTCATCGGATCACCCGCCGGCTAGCCACTATCGGATTTATGACGGGTTCCCTCTCCTTCGCACGAGAGGAAAGGACTTGTTAGTCATGCCCCAAGATCGCATCTTACGGACTCGTCTTCTCGGCGAATTCCACGACGCACGACTTTCGGCACACCTTGGCGTGAACCGCACATTAGCACGCCTCCGCCAGCGTTTTCACAGGCCCGACGTCCTTCATGATGTCACGAGGTACATTGAGTCATGTGCAATTTGCCACCGTAACAAGGGTCGATCTCGAGTCCCCTTCGGCGAACTGAAACCATTGTCGATTCCTCGGGCACCGCACCTCTCCATTGCTATGGACGTGACAGGCCCGTTCCCCTGCGATCGCCATGGCCATGATGTTATTCTCACGGTTGTTGACCGTTTGAGCAAGTACGCTCGCTTCCTTCCTTGCAAGTATCATGCTGCAGCGCCGGAGCTCGCACGACTCTTGCACACCGGTTGGATTACCAACCAGGGTGTTCCGGAAGACATAGTGAGCGACCGAGATACTCGCTTCATGTCGGCCTTTTGGACTTCCCTCATGGCTGAGTCCGGTACGACAATGAAGCCAAGCTCGGCTCGGCACCCGCAGACGGATGGCCAGATGGAGCGAGCGCACCAGACCGCTCAGATGATGTTGCGCTCATCAGTCCCGACCAGAAAGATTAGGTTAACCGGCTTCCCGACATCGAGTTCGCCTATAACACTTCGGTGCACCCGACGATCTGCGTCACACTATTCGAGCTACATCATGGTGGAGAGAAAGCACGGATCTTCGCTGATCTCCTTTTGCCACAGGCTGCCGACATAGACGTCCCTTGCTCTCCCTCTTCCGTTCGGAAGTACCGGGACTTGCTGATCAAAGCCCGCGTGAATATGCAAAAGGCTCAAATCCGCATGCAACAGCAAGCTAACCGACGTCGACTTCCATGTCCTTTCCGCGAGGGAGACCTTGTTCGGGTCCTCTCCGAGGAATTTGTGCTCGAGCAGGACGTTTCACGCAAACTCCTTCCGAAATGGTTCAGACCATGGGAAGTCACTTCTGCCGTTGGAGACGACCCCGCAGGTCCTTCCTTCGTGATCAACATTCCTCCGCACCTGACAGTGCACCGGGTCTTCCACGCATCGAAGCTGGCCATCTACACGCCACCTTCAGCTGACGAGTTTCCCGACCGTCGATCAGAGGATCCGCCTTCTATGGACGGACATCAGGAAGTGGACCGAGTCATCACGCACCGCAAGTATGGCAACAAGCCAATGCAGTACAAAGTCACATTCAAGCAATGTGTGCCTGACGACACTCGGTGGATCTCTGGTGCAGATTTGCAGACTTCTGCACCCCTTATCTTCGCCGACTATGAGAAGCGACGCCTTGCCAAGGAAGCAGCTCGTCCCACTCGACCCATCCCGGTATCGGACAAACAACTTCGCCCTCGCAAGTAGCTCGGTCTTTTAAGAGGGGGAGTGTGTTACATCTTCGACRCCACACGGGTCCTACCGGACCCGACTTAGGGCYAGAGGGACACATTAGGGCCTAAAGGCCCGACCTTGGGGACTACAGGCCGTAAAGGCCTCATCTTGGACCAGACCCGACGGGCAGGCYYAAACGACATTACCGTTTGGGCCTGGCGGCGCTCTTGAGGCTGCCGCCCGCCGGTTGGGGCTGAACTGTCCATATGGACGGTTCAGGGCACGGCCAGGCCTCGCAGCATAGAGGCCGGCCTCTGCCCACCGGTACAAAGGTACCGGTCCGGCCTCACTCCAGCATCGAACCACCGGCAGTCTATGCGGTGCGTTATGGTTAGCGCCTGAGCGCTAGCGCTATTCTTAGAGCAGGAGTGAGAGGAGCAGCAACGGCAGCATTAGTGCAGCAGCGGCAGCGAGCGGAGCAGCAGCAGTGGGACTGAGCATATCGGCGGCCATAGCCGCCTGAGGTACTGGGAGTCGGGGGTTCTCTACTCCCTCCCGTCGCCAGTCCCCTCTCTCTCTCCCTCCTCCTCGACTCCCTTCTTCTTCTTCTTTTTTTTTTTTTTTTTTTTTTTCTTCTTCTTCTTCTTCTTCTTCTTCTTCTTCTTCTTCTTCAGACCTCTTCTTCTTCTTCAGATTTTCTTCTTCTTCTTCAGATTGGAGACTTCATACTAGTTGGACAGAGATCAGTGTTGGACTTCAGTGGTATGAGACAGTGGTACTTACCCGATTCGAGACTTGGAGATTGTATTACATTTGGACTCTGTATCTCCGACATTGGTGACTTATTGTCCTCGACATTTTGATCTTGTTCGGTGACATTTTGGACTACCATATCGGTGACCTATCGGATTCTATCTCGGTGACCGTCGGTGTTGTCTACCTCCCCCACCTCCTTCGTCTTTCCTCCCACCTTTCATCTCTGTATATGTGTACAGGGCCTGAGCATTCTTCCATGTACGGCTCAGACCCCACCATCTCACGATTGTATGTGTGTGGAGTGATATCTATGTGAGTCAGTGTACGTGAGTCAGTCCGTTATCAGACTTCCGCTGCATACATGCTCATCCTATATGGGTTGATCTTTGGTTCAGCCCCATCTTCCGTCATCATCTTCCACACCCATCCACCTTGCCCGGATGTCCAAAGGACAACCCAAAGCACCTCCCACCTCCATCCTCCTTCTTCTCCCACACCCGCCCACCATAGTTGAGCACCATCCGCCTCCATCCTCCTTCATCTCCTACAAGGCTACACCCATCCACCATAGCCGAGCACCTTCTACGTTAGCCCTCTCTTCCCACATCCGCCTCCATCCTCCTTCCCACATCCGCATCCATCCTCCTTCATCTCCTACACCCATCCACCATAGTCGAGCACCATCCACCTCCATCCTTCTTCCTCCTTCATCTCCTTGACCCATCCACCATAGCCAAGCACCTTGTACTTTCTCCCTCCTCCACCTCCCTCCGGCACCTGTGTATCATGCTCGAAGTAGGGCGACTAAGGGGCATGGGGCGTCTTGGGTAGGGTAGGCAGGCAATTAAGGAGTAAGCTTGATTAGGCCTAGGGGTCTATTTCCCTCCTCCCTCTCTCTCCCTCTCTCTCCCTCTTTCCCTCTCTCTCTCTCTCTCTCCCTTTCTCTCTCTCTCACTCTCTCTCTCTCTCCCCCTCGCTCTCTCTCTCTCTCCCTCTCTCTCTCTCGTCCCTTGTATCTTCTCGTCGTCCGCCGCTTCTCCTTCCATCGATGTCCCCCTTTGCGCGCACCCCAAGTAACCTCACCCTTTCCCTCTCCGCCTTCCCCTCTTGACATATGACTAACGTACCCTCACTTGTTTTGCCAGGGGACGAACGGTGAAAAGAGGCAGCCTCACTTGGTGGAGAAAGAGGGCAAGGGGAGGGCAGCCGGTCCCTTGCGCCACCAAGAAGGAGCAAAGTGAAAGACTTATGAGCTTGGGAAAAGCGGAATCATTGAAAAGAAAGTGAAGACAAGTGCGGGTTTTGGGCAACGTCGGTTGACTTAACCATTCCCTCGACTGCATGACTAAGGAAAGAGCATGGCTTGACTGCAGAAAGGAGGGAAAAGAGTGGAAGAACCATGAAAGAGGAAATGACTTAGGCTTGCGGGAAGGGCGATGTGTTGACCCTAATGGGGGATGGATGCTGTTCGTTGTCTGTGTGGGAATTGTGCAGGTGAGTAGCTTTGGATGACTTGAGCGCTTGGTTGGAACGGGAGTATGCGATGGGAGAAGACCAGAAAGGGGGTAGCCTTGTGTGATATGGGTGTGCTTTGGATTGACGCATGCTAGGCGGAGTCCCGAAAAGACTAAGGGCCGCAATGGTATCATGAATGAAATGCGTGGGCCAGGCAAAGAGAATGATAGAGGCTAGGGGGAGAGTCGTGCGGCCTCGTTCGATGATGTCGTAGGCCATTAGGGGCGTTAGGAAAAAGGTGCGTGGCCTAAGGATAACGCTTAGCCTACGCACGTAAAGAAGAGAGATTCCCAATGAAACCCCTGGACTGCCTAAGTATTGGAAGGAGCAATTGCCTGCGAACACAACGGGTAATCGAGAATCTACGCTTGCGACAGTCGACCAGCGAGGCTACCACCCAAAGCAAGGGTTGAGCTACATCCCCAATGTTAAGCTCTCTCGCCCTATTGGCCCATCCCCATCCATACCAAAGCACTAGGTGGGGGTAGCCCCGGATGAATGACCCGCGCCCAGAGCTTGAGCGTGGGCGGGTCGAGCCAAGTGGGACCCGCAGCGGGGTCGACAAAGGCTCGAAATTCTATCGGGGTTCGGCCCGACAAAAATGGTGGAGATGCCGGGTATGGGTTAAACTGACCCATACGATCTCGAGGGGGGCGCCCGACGCATGTGCGCGAACATAACTTAAGATAAGGAACGAGGACTTGTGTATGCTCTATTCCCTTGAGAGAATCAGATTTGAGGGCGACTGGGCGCATGGCAAGGCCAGGCCTGGAGGAATAACATGCGTGGTGCACAAATTGGTTAGGCATCCCCTTGGGAGGTGACTCGAGTCCTCCTTCTTTCGGGTTGATGTTCGTTAGTCCGGGGAAGTCGTGGGCAAGCCGCAGGTCGACCCTTCCTCTTCGTGTGAAAGAAGGGCTCCGGTTACCTGGCAGGCGGTTGGTGCTCGGCCTAGGCCGGATTCCAATAAAAATCCCGCGGTGGAGTGATCCGACCAACATGGGTGCCTTCTTCTCTCTTCTTCGGAGCCCAGCGGGCTCCGTGCACTTTCACTTGAAATGCTTGAAGGAACCCCATATGAACAAAACGGTAATCAAGAAAGAACAATCCCGCCCTATGAACTGGCACACAAGTGAAGATGAGGGGAATGAAGGGAGTTGCTAGACTCCAAGAAAACTAGCTCACCCTTGAAGATGCTCATGAAAAGGAACCGGGCAGGATGTATGGAAGCTAGGGGTGAGTGCCACACACGGTCCCGAGAGAAAACCGTGAGGCATGGGTAGGAAGCGTTGGGAGCATCATGGGAAAGACACTTGTATTATATGTGTCCCACTTGGGACTTGTGATTGCATGAAGGGGAATTGAGCGGATCGGCGCCGGCTGGTGCGGGTTGCGAAACGTCGTTCTCTTCGGATAGGCCACCGGGTTTCATGTGCAGGGTCACGTCACCCAGCCGTTGGACGGGTGTTGGCACGCCGGTAAATTAGTAGCATTTCCACCCGGGTAGGTCCGAGCTTGGCTCGACGCCTTGCCCAGATGGGGTGCGAAACGTCTCCTCAGGTGGGGCCTGACTTGTTGACGGGCGGGGAAGGACCATTGCACGTGGGGCCCGGAGGGAGCTCCGAGGGCGATTAGTAGCCTCTCGCGATACGGCATGGTAAAGGCTGATTCTTATCGAACCGATGGATGTGACCGCCCAGATGGCTGATTTCTGTCCCCACCGAGTACGCGGGGTGATTCCTGGTGCCAACGGTGGTGTACAAGAGCGGCAAGACGGGATGGGGTATTCTGGGCAAGAAGGTGAGGGTGTCCCCCCACTGGAGTCTGGGTACCGCGCTCGCGACGGTTGAGCTGTGCTTGAGGTACGGGATAAAACTCTGCCGATAGTAACCGTGGAGAGACCACTTTTGGGAAAAGGCCGGTGAGGAGATGACCGACCTGTATGCGAGGATTACCTGATTTTTTCCTTTTTGTGCCTACCTCTGTAAAGTTGCTTGAGATTGGTGGGAAAGAACCAAGCCTTCTAAGTCTATTCTTACCCCCTATCTTGGTCCGCACGAGTGAGAGAAGATGGAAAAGAGCAAGGATAGGAGTCGAAAGGAAAGGAACCCAGAGAAGGAATGCCGGCGAATGGTGACCGACTATAGGTACGGCGGGGCAACGGTACTTGGGAAATGGGCAAGGGGAAAATTTAGGGAGACCTTGATGAGGGGTCTAAAACAATTCTCATCCAGGAGTACGGTTGGCCTAAACGAGGGCCGATTCATGCTCTGTTTGGAAAAGCATGACACGGCAACTAGGGAAGGACAAGATGGCACGGTGGTTGTCCTTGCCAACCTACTCCGGCGGACCAGAGATGTCGGTCGAAGTGAAAGGTGGGGTGTCGGTTGTAATGCCGGAAGAAGGAGCTTGGACGGACCTGGAACTGGCATACCAAACTGCTGTGTGTCTGAAAATGGATTCAACGCGGATTTCACGTTGAAAAATTGAACGCGCGTTGAATTCACGTTCAATCCCTGTTCAAACGCGCGTTGGACGCGAATGAACGGGATCCGCGAACCGCGTTTCCGCTTGTTTGGGGGGGGGGGGAAGGGGTTTTGTGAAAGTATGGGGTGGTAGTGTCCGTTGTCGGGTACCGCCCCATGCACTTTGCGTCCTGCAGGGCGTTCGCGGGCTGTCTGCTGGGGGGTGGCGCAGGGGAAACGGTCCGAACGGGTACAAAAACGGTACTTCCATTCGGCCGCAGTTCATTTGCCACGCGAGCCATACCGCTCCAACGCGACAAATGGGTTTCCCGTGCGTCGAACGCTGCGGACGAGACACACACACACACACACACACACACAGAGAGAGAGAGAGAGAGAGAGAGAGAGAGAGAGAGAGAGAGAGAGAGAGAGAGAGAGAGAGAGA